GATACTGAAATAGTTTAGCAAGTACCACATGAAGAAGAGCCAATAGTGATGAGGGAAGAAGTCCAAGCTGCATAATGCACTGGTAAAAAATAAGTCCCTGAAACTGCTTGGATATTGACATGTTTCAACTAACAGATGCAATGGTGGACATGCTCACCAGTCTGTGCTGGGAAATCTGGAAAACAACTACCTGGCCAACTGACTGGAAGAGATCCATATTTGTTCCCATTTTCAAGAAAAATGACCCAACAAAACAATGAAGAAATAAAGAGAAATACCGCAATGGGAAAATCTGCAGTTAGGGACCTCTCCAAATTATTGAGGAGTTATTATATCAGTTTGAGGACTTAGGGTGCATCTGATTCAGGCCACGGTGTTTCTAGGCACTTGCTATGCATATGAGAGCTGGACAATGAATAAGGAATAAGGATGACAGAAGAACTGACGCCTTTGAATGTGGTGTTGGACAAGAGCACTGAACATCCCATGGATGGCCAAAAGAACAAATAAGTATGTCTTGGAGAGGATGCAGCTGGAGTGATGAGGCTTTGCCTCACATACTTTGGGAATATTGTTAGGAGGGTTTATTCCTTAGAGAAGGACATGATGCTAGGAAGGGTAGAGGATTGGCAAAGGAGAGGAAGACCCTCAACCAGGTGGCCTGACATGGTGACTGCTGCAACGGGCTCTTGTGTGTTCTGAAGTATTAGGATGGCACAGGTTAGGGCAGATTTGGATCTGTTGTTCATAGGGTCACTGTGAATTGTACTTGACTTGATGGCACTGAACAATCACCACCACCACCACCACCATTAACATCGCATGCAAGCAAAACACTGTTGAGATTGTTCAACGGCTAGAACAGTACACTGACATGGAATTACCAGAAGTTCAAGTTAGTTTTGGAAGAGGCTGTGGCACTAGGGATTATCCTTGTTGATATCAGATGGAGCCTAGCTGAAAGAAGAGAGTATCAGAAGAATGTGTATTTGTGATGTATTGATTATTAAAGGTATTTGACTGTGTGGATCATAACAAACTATGGCTAACAATGAGAAGAATAGGAATCCCAGAACTTAACTGTACTCATGCAAAATCAATACCTAGGTCAAGAAGCTGTTGTCTGATTGGCATGGTTTAAAATCAGGAATTGTGTGCATCAGGGACTTATCTTTTTATATACCTATTCAATTGTATGTTAAGCAAATAATTTATGAAGCTGGACTCTATGAAAACGAATGTGGCATCAGGATTGGAGGAAGTCTCATCAACAACCTGAATTATGCAGATAACAGAACCTTGCTTGCTGAAAGTGAGGAGGACTTAAAACTACCTGCTGCAGAATATCAAGGACTACAACCATAGGTATGGATTACATCTCAACATCAAGAAAACAAAGGTCTTCACCACTGAGCTAACAGAAAACATCATGAGAGATGACGAAAGGATTGAAGTTGTAAAAGATCTTTTCTTGCTTGAATCAACAATCAACACCCTTGGTACTAGGAGTCAGGAGATAAGGAGACATATTGCATGGGGCAAAAATGCTATCAGGGACCATTCCAGAATACTTCATAGCAGTAAGAGTTTGAAGACTAAGGTGTGCCTGACTCAGGACGTGGTCTTTTCAAGCACTTGCTACTCATTTGAGCTGGACAATGAATAAGGATGACAGAAGAAATTATGTCTTTGAGTTATGGTGTTGGAGAAAAGTACTGAAAATCTGAAAACTGCCAAAAGAACACAGATGTGTTCTAAGATGTGTTTTCTAAGAAGAAAAAGTGCAGCCAGACTGCTCCATGGAGGAAAAGATTGCAAAGCTTCATCTCTCATACTCTGAACATGTTGCTAGGGGAGGCTATTGCTTGGAAAAGGAAATCATACTTGAAAAGAAGGGTCAGAAAGAGAGGAAATCCCCAGCAAGATGGGCTGACACAGTGACTACAGCAAAGGGCGCAAGTGTGTGAGAGATGATAAGGTTTTCACAGCCTAACACAGAGTTCAGGTCTGTTTTTTATAGGGTTGCTATAAATAGTACTTGACTCAACGGCACCTAACAACAACAACAACAACATTCTTGTTAATGTGTACTATCAAGTCAGAACCAACCCATAGCTGGCCCTCTAGTGGATTTTCAGAGAGGGTAAATCACACAGGAGGAGACTGTCCATCCATTTCTTATGGAACAGCTGGTGGTTTCCAAGCATGTGCCTTTTAGGATTGTCATGCAGTTTCTTACTACTAGGCCACAAGAACTCCCTAACAACAACAAAATCCCCCTACAGTTGTGTAAACTTGACGTCTTTTTTAGTAATCCCCACATCCACAAGCCTAACAGTGCTCGGGACACAGAAAAGACATGGGAGTAAATAGTGAAAGCAACCATCAAACAAACTGGCCTGTCCTTCCATTACAACATGCTGCTTCCCAGGAAAAAGAGAAATGCACATATACAGTTTGTCATTTCTCCTCAGCTAGATCAGAGTCTACTGTCTAATACATTTTTAATGACATACCAGGCCCAGCACCTAGCAAATTCAAGACAAATACAATGAAATGACTATGTCAAAGGCAATCATAAAAACACAGGTATGTAAGACAGGAAAGAGAGTTGAAGGTCATGGGAAGATTGCCAATTTGTATTCTTTGGCTTAGTGACCATTCTGTGGTTATTCCTTTTCTTTCTTCCAATGTGCCCACTCTGAGCAAGGCACAATTTTAAAGAAGATAAAATTTTAAAGATTTTAAAGAAGATAAAAATTAAATCAGATATGAGTCCTGATTAACTGTTGTTGTTAGGTCGCTTGTGACTCATAGAAACACTACATACAATAACAGCTCTGAACCCTGCCCAACCTGAGCCAGACTTACTGTTTCTGACACACCTACCCCATTCCCCTAGTCACTGAATCAATCCATCTTCAGGGTCTTCCTCTCTTGCACTGTCCCTCCACCCTCCCAAGCATAATCCTCTCCAAGGATGGATGGATGGATGGATGGACGGATGGATAGACAGAAAGACAGACAGATAAAATAGGTGAAAATACATTTATGAGAGAAGTAAAATTAAAGATTTAAAGAATTTCAAGATAAAAGGAATAAGTTCTAGCTGTGGGATTAACAAAAGAGTCTTTAAAGATAGTGACGGTCAAACTGGTTACAAAAGGTGGGTACAATTGGATGTTAATGTACAAACTCCCAAAAGACAAGAACTATATTTTATTCATTTTGGCATCCCTAGAGCTTCAGTAAATGTTAGAAACATGAAGACTTTAATAAATATTTAACAAATAGGAGACAGCACTCCAGAAAAGGAGTAAGATCAGCAAGAAAAACGTCAGACATGTCTGAGCAATAATAAATGATGAAGTAGCTAGTAAAGAAGATTATTAGGAAAGAACAAGAAATAAGTGGGAAAAGCAGGTCAGGATATGAAAATACAGTTTCAGATATTATTTTGTAGGTAACTAAAGATCACTGAAAACTTTTTCACTGGAAAATGTGATGAGTAGTTTATTAAGGGCCCACTGCTTAAATACAGAAATTCAACTTCATCCATACCGCTTGAAATTCTAGCTTTAGAAATTTCTAATATAACGTTCTGATTTCTTACTTTCAGATATAGCCACTCTAGAAATCCTCTTAATTTCCTAATTCTCCTAAGAGAGAATAAGAAAACCTATTACCATTCACTTACACAATATCATAAATTAGATAATCAATTTCCTTTCTCCTGGCTAACAGAAACAGAGCTAATGGGAAAATACAATTTTTCCTAAAGATGGAATTTTTTTTTTAATTTAGGTTGTTTATTTTTCATTTCAATGAACATCTACAGAGATTTTGGGATTCCATTCATTCATTGTTGCACCCTTCTCC